ATGTATTATTTTAATTTTTGGCCGAATCAAGTATTGTAAACTATTTATGGAACAAATGTAACTGTGTAAAAAGTGCAAGAAATAAAAGTTTATTGCATGCCTAGCGCAAAGCGTGTAGGTATGTTCTACTAGCGCCTAAAAATCAAGATTAGGACGTTTTGTCGCATGAAATCGTAATATCTAACAATCATATTGAACATAGTAATGATATAAAAATCACATTGTCAGAAAGATAAATGATTGTTGAACTTATTGTTTCTTTTTTCAAATTGACGAATTGCTATTTTTACATAAAAAGTGGTTTTAGTGGCTTATGGTGTAGATTTAGTGGATTATGACGTAGTTTTAGTGGCTTATGGTGTAGAGTTCACATGGAGTGGTAATCAATATGTATTGTTACTTTACACTCATTAAATTCAATTTTAATTTATTTATATCTAGTCAACCTATTGAAGTATTCAAAACATCAATCATTTTAAGGAGCTTACTAATACATTTTGGAGTAAGGTGATGAATTCCTTTACGCAACCACAGTGATGAAATATAACAAGTTCAACATAAAAAGTAATAAGCCTTTGAGATTATTCGCGAAAATGGAAATTAAATTTCCAAATAATCGTAATGTTATATCGGCGCAAATTGTAAAGGATCGTCGTCAATAAAATATTCAAACAACTTTATCAACGTTGCCTCTAGGTAAATCAATTAAAACGGTTTGAAGTGTCTCTACAGAACCCCCATTAATCTTGTTAATTGATGAAATAGAATGTAGCCTTAAGGCGACATTTCAGTACTTTTAACTTTGTGAACCTCTGGAAATCCACTTTAATTTATGTATAGTACCTATATTTTATTATTTCATTATGTTCATATCGAACTAAAAACATTACTACCTTGACAGAAAATCGGTATAAACGTTGTTATTATTATATTATTGAGGAGGCCGATAGCGGAGAGAACAGGTACTGGTGGTGGGAACAAAATGGAGTGATGATTTCATATGCCGACATCAAAAGGCTTATTCTATACTTAGTAAAAATATCCAATTCTATTATGATCTAAACAAGTCGAAAATATCACAAGTAAGTATCTTGTATAAAAAGCAGCCAGATAACTATTAAAAATGATGATTTTCATTCTGAACTCCATGGTGTTAAAAGCAAATATTTAAATCAGTACGTGTTGCCAGTGATGATTTATGGTTTTGAGACGTGGTCCTTCACTGCTGACCATATGAGGAAGCTCAAGGTCACTCAGCAAGCTATGGAGAGAGGTATGCTCGGAGTTTTTTCTGCGTGATAAATTTAGAAATGGGGATATCCGCAGTAGAATCAGAGTGACCGACATAGCTCAACGGATTAGTAAGCTGAAGTGGCAATAGGTCAGCCATATAGCTCGAAAAACTGACAACTGATGTGGAAAAAAGTCAATTAACATCAACTCCACAGAAAGATGCAAGCCAACAGCAGCACTAATTATAAACACTTGTTAGTTTCACGATACATAATCACGATAATAAGGTTAATGACTTTGAAAAAATCCACAAACATGTAGCCTCTGTCCACCTTAATACTAATCAAACGAATGGAGCGTTTTGAGTTCTTCTCTTATTCCTATTTACCAATATTTATTTTGTACTTAGTATATTTCACAAGTAACAGTTTACAATAAAGAAAGTTTTTCAATTTGCAATAAAATATATAAAGTATCTATAGACCAGTGAGACAAATACATACTTATGGTCACACATATATCAATGCATAACATCAGGTTGACTGTGTGCTCGTTGGTCGACTTACTTCTACAAACATTTGCTTTCGCGAGCAGTGTAGGTTTCCTTCTTGTGGTAAAGAAACACTGCGGTCATCTTAAGAATTATAATTTATCATCCGTGATGAAAGAAGGAAGATGGTGGACCTCATTTCCAGTAAATAGGATTCTTTCTCGTTAGTACCTATATGAAACATAGCATCATCAGCATCATCATCATCATCATCATTGCAGCCCTTTACAAGTCCACGGCTGGACATAGGCCTCTCCCAAGGAATGCCACAAGGCACGGTTCCGAGCCACCTGCATCCATCGACTTCCTGCATGTCTTACTAGATCGTCACTCCATCTAGTGGGGAGACGCCCCACAACTCGTCCGCCGGTACGAGGCCGCCACTCGAGTACCTTAACCTTCTAATAAGAAGATATGTCGTGATCTCCCAAACACTGCCCAACCGAGTTGAATCCGTCGATTAACCTCTCGGTCGAAGTCGGACTAGGCGGGCTATTTGTCCCAAGTAAACATACTCGTCAACAACTTCGGGCTTAGTGCTCAAAACAACTACTGGCATAGGTGTGACATGGACGTTATATATAATTTTTTTTTGTCCATGTTCATCTTAAGACCTATCCGTTTAGAGACACTATTGAGGTCATTGAGCATAGTGCTTAGGTCCTCCAGCGGTAATGCCATAAGGGCTATATTGTCGAGAAATCTACGATGAGTGATGTACTCGTCATTGACGTTGATACTGTATCATTTCCAGTCCAGTAGCTTGAAAACGTCTTCAAATGCAGCATTGAAGAGTTTCGGGGATATTACGTCATCGTGTCTTAGTTGCAGTCTCTGAAGTTGGATAGGCTTCGTACTCTGGTACTGTGTTCCGATAGCCATCGTAGTCCTACTGTACAAGCACTTCAGCACTTCGATATACCGACAGTAAACTTGGCGCCGCTGGAGGGATTCCAGCACCGCCCAAATTTCGACGGAATAAAAGGCTTTCTCATAGTCCACATACGCAATACAAAGTGGCAGATGATACTCTTCGGTCTTCTGTACTATTTGCCGAAGGGTATGTATGTGATCTACGGTGCTAAAGCCTTTTCGAAAACCGGCTTGTTCGGGAGGCTGGAAGTCGTCGAGCCTGCATGCGAGATGATTCGTAATGACTCTCAAAAACAGCACGTAGACGCGGCTCACAAGGGAAATCGGTCTGTTCTTAAAAAGAGCATTGTCGCTTTTCTTGAAAAATAAGGCCACCGCACTTTTGCTCTACGCCTCCGTTGTAATGCCACCATGGAGGACGGAATTGAAAAGCTTCTGAATGACATTAAGGACCGGTTTTCCATCTGCTTTTAGAAGCTCCACTTTAATTCCATCCTAGCCTGGGACCTTGCCATTTTGAAGGTGCTGAAGAGCCATTCTAATCTCGCTCAGACTGACGTGGAGCAGCAGCATTATGCAACTTTTTAATGCTAGAATTCTGTGTGAGCATGGAATAACCACGAAGACCCAGGTCAATCTGACGCATTTGTAGTGCAGCAATTTCTTTTATTTTCACTTAAGTATAATGTTACCACACTAGGAATTTCTAGAAAATATCCAGACCTGAAACAAGTTTTTGTTGGCCGAACAAATAATTGCTTCGTGTGAGATCCGAACCCGCAGATCTCAGCGCCACAACTCAATTGTAACTATAACGTGATGATGTTAATATAATTTCATTGCCTAGAATAATAATAATAATAATAAATATAATAAAAGGCGTAGGGAAGTGACGACCCCATCGCCCGCTGACTTAACAGTTCAGTGACTAAACTGCTATGTCAGCGCAGTCAGTCAGTGCCTTGCCAAGAGGTGTGAGCGCCGTGCCTCGTCAGTATTGAGGGTGCAAAGGCCCGTTTGTGCTTACGGCCACACTATTAAACGGCGCCGGGTCTGGGCGTCTCCCTTTAATTGACGCCCAATTTAATGGATGATGGAAGATAATAGAACGCGCATAGGGCCGCTGCCTGGGGGTCGCCGGGGCGCGTCTGGAGCTGGCGCTGGACGTGACAGCATGCGAGCCGCCAGCCGAGCGCGAGGTGCTGCACGACCACCTAGCAGCCCCTCGCGTCCATCATCCCCACCAGACGGCTTGGTGTCGGCGGGGTCCTCTCGTACTCGGCAAGCGGCACCCGCCGCTGGTGGAGTACGCCGCATGCGTTGGACAAAAAATATGAACATAAACGCATTGCGGGCGTACTATAGGGCGAAAGGGGAAAAAACTGGAGGGATAGCGTATCGGGCTCGGATGCATCGCGTTTTTGCTGAGCTTGAGCCGTCAGTTCCCGTCACGGAGCAAAACCTGGCAGACCGAGTTCGGTACATCATACGCTCGAAAATATTTGATGATGCCGAACTCGAACGACTACGACGTGAGGCTATTCCCTCATCGAATGAACCGGCTATAGCTGGGAATGCGGCTCTTCAGGCCACAGACCAGCAGCCACATATAGAGGGCTCCATGGATCTCCCTGCTCTGGTTGATTCAGGCGATGATGGAATGGTCACCCAAGAACTAGAGCAGATGAGGAGTAAATTGGAGGAGGCGATTGTGGAAACGCGCAGTACGCCTCTCGAAAATCGACCGCGACTCCCGCGCATACCTCTAAGCAAGCGGAATCGGGCTGTCGTGAGGGCTCTCAACCCAATGCTGGTGACCTATTTGGAAGCCAGCCGGGACATATGCGAGACGGACTCAATTCTTTTTGGCGCCGCACTGGCAGTTTGCCGTATTGTTGGCGCCAAACTTCCCACGGCTGGACGCGCTACTAGACAAAGTAGCGCCATCCCAGCCTGGAGAAGAAGGATTGAGGACCGTATCGTAAAGGCAAGGGCCCTCATCGGCAGGCTGATAAGCTTCAGGTCGGGCAATAATAGGCCGAGAATTGTGCACACCGTCAGAATGGCGTTTGCTGGGACAAATATCAGTTTGTCCCAGCCGGATATAACGCAAAAACTGACGGAGCGCATAGACGACCTGAAGCAGAGAATCGCTGCTTGGGGGAAGCGGATTCGGCGATATACCGAGAGGTCGACACGGTTCAACCAGGATTGTGTCTTCCAGAGTGATCAGAAGAGGCTACATAAATCATTGGAGCGACTAATGGTACGTGGAACGGGCCAAGCACCGAATCAGGCCGACACTGTTGCAAGAATCACTCGTCACCTGAACTCAAATCAGGTGATGTCGCGCGCTCAAAATGGATGTCGGGGCGGTGGTCGTGGAACCAAGGAACCACTCCTCATTGACGCGGTCATTGGCAAAGTGGTTAAACGCAACCGTCGGAACCTATCCGCCGCCTGGATAGACTACAAAAAGGCATTCGACTCGGTGCCTCATATATGGCTGAAGAAGGTCCTCGAGCTGTACAAAGTTGACTGTACAGTTAGAGACTTCCTCGGGCAGTGTATGGGGCAGTGGAGTACGATCCTTTGTCATCTAAGCGAGCGGATGACGGCTGCGGAGAACCACATAAGGATAAGAAGGGGTATCTTCCAGGGCGATTGTCTGAGTCCAATCTGGTTCTGCCTCTCTCTGAACCCTCTCAGTACCTTACTGGAGGACTCCGGGAGGGGATTTCAGCTTCGGAGAGGAGGTACAAAAATGACCCACCTTTTCTATATGGATGATCTCAAGTTACCTCCAGTCGCTCTCATCTTGTGGAATTGCTAAACATCACTTGTGATTTTAGCAATTCTATTAGAATGGAGCTGGGGACTGATAAGTGTGCGGTCCTCCATGTCGAAAGGGGTAGAGTTGCTAACTCTGAGGGCATAGATTTATCTATGCCCATCAACATAAGGACCCTTTCCGAGGCTGAAACATACCGATACCTGGGTATGTCACAGAACATCGGTGTAGATGAGGCGGGTATGAAACAGTCAGTTTGCGATGTGTTTTATGCACGCTTGACCAAAGTGCTTAATAGCCTTTTGTCCGGTGTGAATAAAACGCACGCATATAACGGTTGGGTCATGCCTGTTCTCATGTATACCTTTGGCATACTTAGGTGGACTCAGACCGAACTAAACGCTCTGGACAGAAAAGTCCGCACTATAATGACGTCCCACAGGATGCATCATCCGAGATCGTCAGTAATGAGGCTGTAGTTGCCGCGGAAGCATGGTGGGCGCGGCTTTTTAAGCGCGCTTACCATGCATAATCGCGAAGTGTGCAGCCTCCGTAATTACTTTCTGACGAGAGTGGATGATCCATACTATAGGGACGTTATTTCTTGTGATAAAGGACTGACCCCTCTATCCTTAGCCAACGAGCAATGGCAAGACCCAGCAGTACAGTGCATTTCCGACCGGGAGGCCGTATGGAAGGAGAAGGAGCTCCACGGGTGGTTCTACAAGGCTCTACATGAGCCTTTCGTAGACACAGTCGCCTCCCTTCACTGGCTACGTTTCGGTGACCTCTTTGGGGAAACTGAGGGTTTTGTCTGTGCGATACAGGATCAGGTTATTAAGACCAATAATTATCGGAGATACATCCTAAAGGATGGCGCCGTCGACATCTGTCGAGCTTGTCGCTATCCCGGTGAGTCACTTAGACATGTCATCTCCGGTTGTTCGGCGCTTTCTTACTCTGAGTATTTGCACAGACACAATCTAGTAGTCAGGATTCTACACCAGGAGCTCGCTCTGAAATACGGTCTCGTGGATCGGAAACTGCCTTATTATAAGTACATGCCAGAAGCCGTGCTCGAAAATGACCACGCCAGGCTCTACTGGGACCGGGCCATCATCACAGACAGGACCATTCTTGCGAATAAGCCTGATATTGTGCTGATGGACCGGGCACAGTCAAGGATCTTTTTGGTCGACATTACCATTCCTTATGACGAGAACCTCGTGAAAGCCGAAACAGATAAGGTGACAAAATATCTGGACCTGGCTCACGAGGTTACCGGCGTGTGGGGTGGTCTGCCGACCGAAATTATTCCTGTGGTCATTTCTGCGAACGAGTTAATCCCAGTCAGCCTCCCGGGTTATCTGAGGCGACTGGGACTCCGTGACGGACCGCTCCAGGCTCAAATGCAGAAGGCGGTGCTCCTCGATACCGCCCGCATCGTCCGCCGGTTTCTTTCCCTTTCCCCCGAACCCTCGGCCGTCTGGTCTCCCCTGCCGAGGGCTTCCATCTGGTTGGGTTTTTATATATTTATGTATTTTTTATGTATTTATTTTATTTTATTCATATTTATGTATGTTTACCATTTTCATTTACAATTATATATTTATACTGCCCAACCAGATGAGAAAACTTTATAGATACCCCAAAATATAATAATACATAAATATCAATATAATTTTATTTTATTGAAATTTATGTACGTTCACCATGTTTATTTACAATTATATATTTATATTTCCCAACCAGATGGGAAAACTTTATAGATACCCCATAATAATATAATAATAATAATATGGCGTAGGAAAGTGACGAACCCATCGCCCGCTGACGAAACAGTTAAGTGACAAAACTGCTACGTCGGCGCAATCAGTCAGCACCTTGCCAAGCGATGTTAGCGCCGTGCCTCGGCAAAATTGAGGGTGCAAAGGACCGTTTGTGCATATGGCTCCATCATGAAATGGCACCGGTTCTGGGCGTCTCCCGTTAACTGACGCCCAATTTATGGATGATGGAAACGAATAGGCCGCGTATAGGGCCGTTGCCTGGGGGTCGCCGGGGCGCATTTGGAGCTGGCGCTGAACGCGACAGCATGCGGGCCGCCAGCCGAGTGCTAGGTGCTACACGACCACCTAGTAGCCCCTCGCATCCATCATCCCCACCAGATGGCTTCGGTCCTCTCGAACTCGGCAAGCGGCACCCGCCGCTGATGAAGTACACCGCATGCGTTGGACGAAGGAAATGAATACAAACATATTGCGGGCGTATTTTGGGGCGAAAGGAGAAGAAATCGGGGGTTTTGCGTACCGGGCTAGGATGCATCGACCATTTGCTGAGCTGGAGCCGTCTATTATCATTACTGAGCAAAACCTGGCAGACCGAGTTCGGTACATCATGCGCTCAAAAATATTTGATGACGCAGAACTCCAACGGCTACAACATGAGGCTATTCCTTCGTCGATTCAAAATACTACGACAGGTGATGCGGCTATACGATTGAGATTTATGATTTGAGAGCAACTCGCACAATTAGATGCCACCGTAGATCTTCTTGTGGTTGACTCAGGCGACGATGGAATAGTCTCCCAGGAACAAGAGCAAATGAGGAGCGTATTGGATGAGGCGATTAGGGAAACGCGCAGTACGCCTCTCGAGAATCGACCGCGACTTTCCCGTATACCCCTAAGCAAGCGGAATCGGGCTGTCGTGAGGGCTCTCAACCTGGTGACCTGTTTGGAAGCCAGCCGGGACCTTTGCGACACGGACATAATTCTTTTTGGCGCTGCACTGGCAGTTTTCCGTATTATTGGCGCCAAACTTCCCACGGCTGGACGCGCTACGCGAGACCAGGACTCCGCTTCCCACACACTCGCAGTATGCCCAGCGTGGGAACGGGAACGGACGATCCTGGTAAACCGCATCGAATGGGACCTCTCCCTGCCAGCAGTTGTGTCGGCGATGCTGAGCGGGGATTCGGCGTGGATTCACCTTCTGTGAATCTCTTATGATTCCGAAGGAGGCTTCTGAGCGGGATCGGGAGAGGGCGGATCCCACGCGGAGACGACGTCACCAAGGCGTGTGTCACGGCCCTCCTCTTGAAAACGGTGTTACCCTACCAGAAACGGGGTCTCCGGGGTTGTAGACGCTCGGGGCGGGGGCCTCGAGCGCCTAGTTATGTAACCCCCAAGGAGGACGATGGCTCGGAAGTGGTCTCGAGACATCGTGGAAGCACTGCGAGGTTACTGGAGGCAGAAAGTACTGTCCCTGGGATGTGCTATTAATGTAGCAAAGCGATGGAGGGGCCCCGTTTGCGTTCCGAACGGAGATCCCTGGACCCCTCTTATACGCTGATGGTGACCACCGTGGGGTTTTAGCCGGTAGGAGTCCGGCATAACCTTTTGTTGCCCCCGCAGCGGAAGGTATCCGTGAGAATTTCCCCACGAAAAAGAAATATCTTTACTCCGCATCGAAAATTTTGTCGCGTTGTGTTAGTTTTTTCGTTCAATCACTAAACTATTATTTATAATTTTTTAAATATGATGGTGGTTGATTATTATTAATCCCACTGTACCATTCCATTCCTACATATTAAAAAATTAACTGAACGATTATTTAAAGTTAATTTAGTTTAATTTATTTTATTTTTATTTAAATAACCTCAAAATAGGACTTAAGGCCTTAACAGTGGTTGAAATGCCTAAATCTAGGATATTTAAGTAAAAAAATCTCAATAACTGTTCATTTAATCCACAAAGAAAAAATACAGGGTAACAGAAGAGGATTTGGTAAATGTTTTTAATTTAACAAAATTGTATTTTTGTCAACCCCTTATTAGAAAAAAAAATCCCCAAAGAGTACCTATCTTTGTCATATTTTGCAAAATTTCTCCAAAACGGCACAAGCTTTTTAAATAGTTCTTACACTAAAAAAAAGGTCTTAAAAATATTAATATTTTTAATTGAGAGTTTTATTTTTATTACCCGTTTTATAAGAGAATATATCATTTTCCCTGAAATTGAATACATTTACGCGAGCGCGCATGCTCCGTCGCCATGTAAGCTCTGTCACAGTCCGTTTTCGGACATCGTCGAGGGTGGACCGCACGTCGGTGTTGGAGCGACTTCGTTCAAATATAAATTAGTTTTTTATAAGTTTATACTCAATTATAAATATTTTTATGCCTAGAAATACTTAATTTAGTTAATATCTGTACACTGGTAACTGTAAATATTATTTTCTAAATAAAAGAAATTTTTAAAGTGCCCAAAGAAGAAGAAATTTTCGCGGCGACGTTTGTTAGTGAAATTGAAAAATGCAAATTTATATAATTTAGATGTGGAACGACGAACATGCTCTCGTTACTTAGATTTCGATAGTTTTTTATACCTATGTAATTTTATTGTTGCATATTTTTATTAATTAGTTGATACTGAATTTTATAATTATGTATTACATTAAAACGCTGTTTTTATGCCGTGTAGTGGCGGTCAAGAATATCCACTACCCCATATCCTCCCGTGGGTGTCGTAAAAGGCGACAAAGGGAAACAGGCAGGAGATGGGCAGCAGCTTCTTCCTGATAATAGTCAAGATTACAATAAAAAAACTGCGGTTGCCAACCCGCTCGCCAAGCGTGGCAACTATGGCAAATACCCCCCATGATGAAAGTTACGAAGAGACGGCCCCCAGTCCCCGGCGGCCCCGCTATTCCTGGCTACGGTGGCGACCATGGTAACGGCGGGGCAGGGGGTGCTAAGAATCTCCGGTGGAGGTTCGGTTGCCACCTACGACGTCTCGACCTGGCAACATACAACGCACGCACCCTGAGGACTGACGAGAAGATAGTGGAGCTGGAGGAAGAGATAGACAAGTTGCGCTGGCATATTATAGGATTATCCGAAGTCCAAAGAGAGGGGGAGAACACGGTAATCCTCGAATCCGGCAACTTACTCTATCACCGGGAGGGCGACCATCTGTGCCAAGGAGGTGTCGGATTTATCGTCCACAAGTCTCTCGTTAACAACGTTGTAAAGATCGGGA